CATTTGAACAGTCAATAGCAAATACTTAAACTAGTAACGCTACGCAACAACAGTCGCTGATTCAGAAGCGCCAGATTGTCATAGCAAAGTCAGAATGACCTCCTCTCCTAGGTTCACGAAACGGTCGTCCATAAAATGCATTGCTGTTCTGTTGTAAGTGATCTTCCAAATAAAGTGCTTCTGCTTTCTCCTAGAAACACACAGCGTCTCCCTGACATGCTGCTTCAACACTAACTGCGGTTACTGAAACCACACCTTCTTTCTTTGCGTGCACATTTGGGCGCATTATGCTAATATTTCCACATAGTGAGGTAGACATGTGGGGGCGTGTTAGAACGAGCCGTTTTAGGGGGGCGTGGCAGAGTCTTAACTTTGATAAAGAATATCTCTTTGGTTTCGAGACTTTAGTCTTTGCAACTTCAGGGATCTTATCTATGCACAATCAGCTTGTAACACTCCAAAGAGAAAGAACAACTTGAAATCGCATCATATGACCCCTTTAATTAAAATTCTAATAGTGTCTCGGTGATCCTAAAATAAGGCTGATTTCGATATTCCGATGCTGTGTTCCCGCAGGGTCAGTCAGAGGTCAGATCGCCTCATCAGCAGCAGCACGAGGACGACTACGTTTCCCAGAAGTCTTTGAGCAGCAGACTCTCCTGGTCAGCGCTAGGCAGGACTCAGCGACTGAAGGTCATGGAGTGTAAGGTCAGACTGCTGGATGGCACTGACTACACCTGCACCGTGGAGGTGAGTGATGATGATGAAGATGATGATGAAGGACAGAGAGTGAATGGACTGTCATGGAAGGATCATTTCTGTGACGAGTTCATGAAATCAGGACACAATTCAAACTAAAACAGGTCTAGCTCAACTGCTATCAAACGACCGTACAAAGTTTTGTTAATTAAATCACAATTTTCAATCCTGATTTTATTTTTTCTCAGCTAAAAATTGAGATTTAAATTGCATTTTTAAAGAACTTGTTTGTGTCGCTGCACAATTTGCTAAAAAAAATATTGTTTGGTTTATATATCAATATGACTTTAAAAGAATGTTTTTTTATTATAATGATTAATTAAAAATATTAAACAAAATAAGACTAAATATATTAATATTGTAATGCTATTGTACTTACAAATATATTTAACAATTTTATTTTACACAAACTAATATTTTTGTCTTAATTTCTTCATCTTTAATACCTTTGTGATTCATTAGTCACACTAAACCATATTGCAATTATGTATTTATTTTATTTTTTTAATTTTTTTTTTTTTTGAATAACCAATCAGCCCTAATATAGTTGTATTCAAATTTTGTGAAAAAATAATTAATAATGAAATCAGCCGTCCAGAAATCTCTCTGTAGTTTCAGGCTTTAAAACCTGCAATTTTTCTGATTTAAAATTATGATTGTGATTTAAAATGCTTTAGGAAAGCGCTTTAGGTTTGCTGTGTTTTGCTTGTTTGCAGGACTGCACAATTTTGCCAAAAAAAAAGTCATATTATAGTTATAAACCAATATGACTATAAAATATTATTGGTATTGATTATTGGTGTTATTAAAAATATTAAAATAAGAAATATTGTAAAACAAATGCACAGTGAAATAAAAGTAGAATTTAGTAATGCTAATAAAAAAATAATAATAATTTTATTTGTGCTATAAAAACCAATATAAGTTTTTGTAAGTGCTATAAAAACCAAAAAATGACGATACTAATAGTTTTTTGAAATTTTGGAATCCTGCTGATTCTCTGGATCTTCAGTCACAAACACACACTCTGAAGCGCTCATAATAGCATATTATTCGTTTGTAAACATGATTTATCTGCGCCAGGCTTGATTCTCAGAGGAAAGTGTTTCTGAGGAATATCAATAGATGCTTTTGTCTGTTAAATAAATAGAATCTGAGACTAACTTGCTTCTGAAAGTCTAAACGAGTCAAGAAGAGATGTTAATTACTAATCCACTATCATTGCTGTGGGTTTACTCGTTATTTACCCAATACAACAGGAAGTGCATTAAGATTATAAATTCTAACTGGGGCAAAACAGATTTGTTGATTTAATAAAGACGTAAATTCACACTCTCTTAGTTCGGGGGAAAAGATTCTTAATCTTTTTTTTTTTTTTAATGTATTTATTCATTTTTGTCAGCCACAACCCCTTTGATATTTTTATTCTAATTGTTTATATTTTAATTATTTTATTTTAATTGTTATATATATATTTATTTATTTTTAAATGTTATGTATTTAAAGTCCCCCTTAGATTTAAAGTTCATATTTCAATAATTTAGCAACATATTAGCATGTTCATGGTTCTCTGATGTGGATTAATGGTCACATGACATGCAGCGATAAACTAAATTATTTTACCTTTTTATAATTTTTCGACTCCAATTCACCCCAAAATTAAAATCTTGTCATCATTTATTCAAACCTGTTATTTTAGTATCATTGAAATGCTATTATACTGTAGTTTTTATTAATATTTTGAATGAATAATTAGTTTTTGTATCTTTTATATTTTCCATTTTCATTTTAGTTATAGTGATTTTGTTGTGTTTTTGGCTTTTTTTGTATTTATTTATTTGTCTGTATATTTTTTATTAATTTTTATTTCAGTTTTAATGAAATCATGTTACGTCGTGCAACTAATTTAAAATGTTGAAATACACATTATTTAGTTAAAAATATAAAAAGTTAAAAAAATTAGTTATTTGCTCTATTGAACGCAAAGGAAGATATTTTGAAGTATGTTGGGAGCCAAACCGTTGTGGTTCCCATTGACTTCCATTATATGGACAAAAAATACAATGGAAGTCAATGGAAACCAGAACTATTTGGTTGCCAGCATTCTTCTTTTGTCTTCCACATCAAGTCATACAGGTTTGAGGGACATGAGGACGAGTAAATGATGACAGAATGATGATTTTTGGCTGCACTGTGCCTTTAATGGATCTCTGTGTGTGTTTGTGTGCAACAGAAAAGAGCGAAAGGTCAGGTGCTGTTCGATAAGGTTTGCGATCACCTGAATCTCCTGGAGAAGGACTATTTCGGCATTACACACCGGGACGCTGAAAACCAGAAGGTGTTTGTCAGTCTTGGTCCTCTGATCTGGTGTCATGTCTATCTGCCTGTTTTTCAATGCCGAACCTCCTGCTTTTCCCACAGAACTGGCTGGACACTTCCAAAGAGATGAAGCAGCAGATCATCAGTACGTCTTTCCCTAACAGACTCCTTCTTTGTCTCCATCCAAACGTCTTCGAGTTCTTACAGGAAGTTTTCTTGTTTTTCAGCTGGTCCCTGGAACTTTGCCTTCAGTGTGAAGTTTTATCCTCCCGATCCATCGCAGCTCTCCGAGGACATCACCAGGTCTGCTTGGGATATATATATATAAAAAAAAATTTCAGCTCTTATTTTAGTATCGAGATATTATTTTTTTATATATTGAATCCATTTAAATTTAGTTTAAAAAATTTTTTTGTCTTTTTTTAAATATGTCTATGTAGTTTATCAATTTTTAAAATTATTATAAATATAAAAATGTTATTATCTTAATGTAATTAAATAATAATAATAATAACAAAGTTGCTAAAGCAAGATTTCTCTCTCTGTGTGTCTCTGTCTCTGTGTCTCTCTCTCTCTCTCTCTCTCACACACACACTCTCTCTCTCTCTCTCAGGTATTACCTGTGTCTGCAGCTGAGGGACGACGTGGTTTCTGGGCGTTTGCCGTGTTCTTTCGCCACTCACAGCGTGTTGGGCTCCTACACGGTTCAGTCGGAGCTGGGTGACTATGACTCTGAGCTGCAGGGATCCGCTCATCTCAGCGACATACGTTTGGCCCCGAACCAGACCAAAGAGCTGGAGGAGAAAGTCCTGGAGCTTCACCGCAGCTGCAAGTGAGTTCCCTATCTGTCGGTCACTATGACTTATGTCGAATGACATATGGGGTCTCACTTGGGAGGCCAATCATCTCTGAGTTTAAGAGAAAACGCAAATGAGAATTGGCTAGTGGATTTTGTCTGTCACTACCCGTCCTGTTTTTGTCCTGTCACTACCCGTTTCTCTACTACGAACAGAGGACCGCCAGCTAGTGCTCTGGGAGATATGAGGGTGACAGTAAGAGCTTCTCCACCGGGCCACGCCCCATGGACCTCTCACTCCTTCCGCAGCGTTTGTCCTGTGCGGCTGCTGAGTGATTCTGCTGGGCTGTCTTATGGTGGTCCTAGCATTTCATTTGATGTGCCGCCGGGGGATCAGATGACAATTGCAGCATCGGGGGATGAACTATTGACCTCTGTGGATGAAGATTCGGCAGGGCTGCCCCCCCTCGGGTGTTGTCGCCACTGCCGAATTGGACCCAGAGTTGATGGCCGTGCTTGCCCGGGCAGCCGTTAGCATCAGGTTGGAGGTGAATACACCGCCCAGCCCTGAGTGCTCGCGGCTGGACGAATGGTTTCTCAATGTAGAGTGCGCGGCTCACAACCGCGGTCTGCTCTGGTTCCTTTCTTCCCGGAGGTGCATGAGGAAGTGACGTAGTCGTGGACAGCCCCTTTTACGGCCAGAAGCCGCTTGTCTCCTTCCTCCGTCCTCACTACCCTCGATAGCGGGGCGGCTAGGGGGTGCGTCGACATTCCCCAGAAGGAGAGAGCGATTGCAGTGCACCTGTGCCCGCAAAAAACGCCGCCACTTGGAGGAATAGTCCGCGTCTCCTGTCCAAAGCCTGTAAGCTGTCGGCAGCTCTCGCTGCCAAAGCTTACAGTGCTGCGGGCCAAGCTGCCTTTGTCCTGCATGCAATGGTGATCCTGCAAGTTCACCAAGCCAAGGCCTTGGGTACAAATGCACGAGGGTAGTACCTGCCCGAGGTTGATGCAGGAGCTGCGCACGGCGACTGACTTTGCCCTCTGGGTGACGTAAGTCACATCGCGGTCCCTCGGGAAGAGACATCGTGCTGAGACATCGTCGAGGCCGGCGCGTCGAGCTCCATGGAGGAGAGCGGCGTCACATCCAGCCGCTAGATTCTCTAAGAAGATGACGAAGCGGCCCTGAAACGGGCAACCCGGAGATGTGGGAGACTACTCTTCAGGAGGTGGCGAGGACAGCGCCGCTCCTTCCTCCGGAGGAGGGCCGGGTGGAGAATCTTTTGTCTCTTGTTTGGCTCAACGGTCAGCGGTAACCACATTGTCAAAGAAAGAGCAGTTTCCTTTTCCTCCGGGTTGCAAGGCTCGTGGGTCGACAGTGAGCGATGCACCGCTTCCTCACTCTCACCCATGATACCCTCTATCGCCAGTGGCCGAGAGGTCGCGGTTCGGAGACGCAACGCCTCTCCATGTGTCTCTGGCCAGTCCCTCCAGGGACTCGGGGAGTTTTGCTGTGATGATTCAGAACGCTAGGCCTTCTGGGCCACCCAGAACAACTCCCCATTGCAGCACCACTGCGGGTGCATCGACTGTCCCTTTGGTGCCACTCATACGGAGTTTAGGAGCGTAGCTTGCGTTGCCCAACCCGTCCTGCTAGCTCATTCGGACGGTTCAACTCAGCTACACAATTCAGTTCACCAGGCAACCTCCAAAGTTCAATGGTGTTCTCGAGACTTCGGTGGCAGTCCGAGACGCCTCTGTCTTGTGCGAGGAGATTGCTGTCCTGTTGGTGAAGGATGCAATCGAGCCGGTCCCTCCAGCCAAGATGAGGAAGGGGTTTTACAGCCCTTACTTCATCATACCCAAGAAAAGCTGTGGCCTTCGACCTATTTTAGATCTGCGAGTCTTGAATCGAGCCCTTCACAAGCTCCCGTTCAAGATGTTGACGCAGAAACGTATTATCAAGTGCGTTCAAGCCCAGGATTGGTTTGCAGCGATCGACCTGAAGGACGCGTACTTTCATGTCTCGATACTTCTTCGTAACAGACCATTCCTACGGTTTGCGTTCGAGGGTCGGGCATGGCAGTACAAGGTCCACCCCTCGTGTCTTCATGAAAGTCGGGGAGGGCGCCCTTGCCCCACTATGGGAAGTGGGCATCAGGATCCTCAACTATCTCGATGACTGGGCATCATATGGCACCACTGGATAGTGGATGCCATCACCTTGGCGTACCGATCCCAAGGCGAGCCGTGACCCCTGGGGGTGAGAGCTCACTCCACTCAGAGTGTTGCTTCCTCCTGGGCATTGGCGCACGGCACCTCTCTGGCAGACATCTGTCGGGCCGGGCGACACCTAACACCTTCGCAAGGTTTTACAACCTTCGTGTAGAGCCAGTGGATAGTGGAGGCCATCGCCTTGGCGTACCAATCCCAAGGCGAGCCGTGCCCCCTGGGGGTGAGAGCCCACTCCACTCGGAGTGTTGCCTCCTCCTGGGCGCTGGCACACGGCGCCTCTCTGGCATACATCTGTCGAGCTGCGGGCTGGGCGACACCTAACACCTTCGCAAGGTTTTACAACCTTCGTGTAGAGCCAGTTTCTTCCCGTGTGTTGGGTAGCAGGCAATTGGCGGGAAAATCTGGCTCGGTGTCACGCTTGCTGCGCCATTCCCCCTCACACGGGGATGCGAGCACAGGTTTTACAACCTTCGTGTAGAGCCGGTTTCTTCCCGTGTGTTGGGTAGCAGGCAATTGGTGGGAAAATCTGTCTCGGTGTCACGCTTGCTGCGCCATTCCCCCTCACACGGGGATGCGAGCACCTTTCTTCTCCCAGTAGAGTTCCCCGGTTGGCAAACCATGGTCGAGCATCCTCCAGCACCCCCGGCAGTCAGACTTGGCAGAGCAGTCAGACACCAGGCCCAGTACTGATGTTAGCATGCCCGGTGTCCCGGCCAGCCCCTGTCCTGGGCTAGGTGTCCCTATGGCTTGATTCCCTATGGGTAATCCCAAATGTGTATTCTTCCACGGTAAGGATTTCCTCTCGGTAAACCAGTGTCTTCCCTTGACAGTCCTGCTCTGTCAGTCTCTTCTGGTAGTTGTTCCATCCCTACTTTAAGGTAGGACCTGCCTCAGAGACCCATTCCATATGTAGTACTGCCCCCTGGGTCAGTCCATATCAGGGATAACATGTCACCTCCCTACGGGTAGGATGTGGTCTCCGTAGCAAACTTTTTCCTTAAGGCTCGCTTCCCCATCGTTCTGCCAGGCTGAAAGAACAAATAGGAAAGATTTGAAGCAATCTTTCACTGAAGGTTGAAATCTCTTCCAAAAACTTCTTTGTGGACGGAACAGCAGCATGGCCTTCTCCACCAGCGATGTACTTACCTGTGGTCCCCTTCGGTACCAAGGTCAGTGAATTTGTGCTGGGGCTTTGGTAAGGTTATGGCCTTTAGCGTAACTTTTGTGACGCACTTCGGCTTGTCAACAATTGCAGCGCCGCAGGGTTGTGATGGTGTTCAGGTTGTAGCGTTTTCCATGGACCCCATATGTCGTTCGACATAACTCGTAGTGTCTCGGTTACGTATGTAACCCTCGATCCTTGATGGAGGGAACAGAGACGTTATGTCCCCATGCCACAACCTTGAACTATTCGCTGTTGCTGGGACACGTTCTCGGCTCCTCAGCGTAAAGCCTAATAAGTGGATGCGCGCTGTCGCCTTATATACCCGTAGGCACGGGGAGTGGCTCAGCAATCCACTAGCCAATTCTCATTGCCGTTTTCTCTTAAACTCCGAGATGATTGGCCTCCCAAGTGAGACCCCATATGTCGTTCGACATAACGTCTCCGTTCCCTCCATCAGGGATCGAGGGTTACGTACGTAACCGAGACATTTCACGTCATCATGCGAGACACTGTGTGTGACGATCACATGTCCGGATTTGCAGTCACTTCAGAACAGTGTTACTTATGTATCATTAAGAAACTATTATAGTTTTATTAAAGGGGTCATATGATGCGATTTTCAAATTTTCCTTTCTCTTTGGAGTGTTACAAGCTCTTGGTGCATAAAGAAGATCTGTAAAGTTGCAAAGACTAAAGTCTCAAATCCAAAGAGATATTCTTTATAAAAGTTGAGTCAGCCACGCCTAACCTAAAACGCCTCGTTCTAACACACCCCCACATATCTACATCACTGTGTGGGAAGATTTGCATAACGCCGCCCAAATGTTCACGCAAAGAAAGAAGGCGTAACTTTTATTCTCGCTGTAGTATTGTTGCTGCCGCCGCCGCCATGTCCTGAAGACGCTGTGTGCTTCGTTGTGAAAGCGAAACTACTTTGTTTGGTCTTCCAAAAGAGGACGATATCCACTTCGTCATGCCTGGAGCTGATCCGTGCTTGTCGCTGAGGAAATATTACACTTCGCGCTGTCGGATCACCGGATCGGCTTTCACCGTGGACAAAGCAGAGTCCAGACCGGGGTCGTCACACAAAATTATGTTCTTTTTAGCAGCATCATATGACCCCTTTAATATTTGGAGTTTGTTTTTATTTTTATTTTATCCTTTTTCATTTTTATTTTAGTTAAAGTTTTAATTATTTAGTTGTTTTATTGTAATTTTGCTTATAAATCACACAGAATGGAGTGTATTGAAAATCTGAAATAGCAGAAAGTCTCCTGTGAGGGGTAGGTTTAGGGGTAGGGTAAGTGTAGGGCAATAGAATATACGGTCTGTACAGTATAAAAACCATTACGCCTATGGAGAGTCCCCACTTTTCACAAAAATAAACCTGTGTGTGCGTGCGTGCGTGCGTGCGTGTGCTGTACTAACACTTCTCTCATTAACCTGCTGCTCGTCTCGAGCTCATCCAGACTTTACAGCAATTAATAATCACAGTGCCTTCAGACAATTGCTTTGTAATACAAGTTTTCTGAAATGTTCTGTCTTAATATGCAAATGAGGCATTATCTAATTAAACATGCACTAATTTGCATACATTTCCCAAGCATAAATCTGAACATTGGTTTATAATTTGATTTTGTTGAAATATTAGAGTTAAAGGTTACAGTTACATTCATTCATAATACCTGTGATTCTTCTGCAAAGCAATATAATTTATTAGCCTGTGTGGACTGTTTATGGGTGCCACACAACGTTTATTAAAATCAGTTTATTTAACCCTCATAATGCATTCAGAATCTGTTTTCTATTTCAAGTTTTTATTAATTAAAAAATTGAGAAATTCTTTGAAATGTCAAATTACACATGGACCACATCAAAAAAACTAAGAAATATATATGTGTGTGTGTGTAATATATGTCGGCATGGAGGAGTGGAAGAGGACTCCAGTGCCAACCTGTGAAGCTCTGGTGAACTCCATACCCAAGAGGGTTAAGCAGTGCTGGAAAATAATGGTGGACACACAAAATATTGGCACTTTGGGCCCAATTTGGACATTTTCACTTAGGGGTGTACTCACTTTTGTGGCCAGCGGTTTAGACATTAATGGCTGTGTGTGGAGTTATTTTGACTGTTATGCAAGATGTACACTCACTACTTTACATTGTAGCAAAGTGTCATTTCTTCAGTGTTGTCACATGAAAAGATATAATAAAATATTTACAAAAATGTGAGGGGTGTACTCACTTCTGTGAGATACTGAATATACACACACATACACAAATAAATGTAACATTTTATTTGAATATATCATTGTATGACATTTATAACAGAGAATATAATCTGATCCACACATACCCGAGTAAAATGACCCGAATACGTTATGAGGATTAAACACAACAGCATTTATGCATTTGAATGGCGTCCAGGTTGTGCGCAGCAGCTCATATGATCATAAACGAAGGATCTCTCGCTCTGCTGTTCTGATTGGCTGCTGCAGCCCATCTCTCTCTCTCTCTCTCTCTCTCTCTCTCTCTCTCTCTCTCTCTCTGTCTCTCGCCCCTCCTCTGCTGGCTCAGCTGCTCGGGAGGCTGTTTGAGTGTTTAGCAGAGGTGCAGGAGGAGGTAAGATGCGCCTGTGCATGCGTGTGTTTGTGGATACGTGTGTTTGATTGACGCTGTGGTCTCATGCATGTCTGTGATCATTATAGTGTGTGTTTGTGTGTGTGTGTGTGTGTGAGAGCAGGAAGATGAAGGTCTTCGGCTCCGTCATGCTGCAGTGCATTGTTCAGCCGTATTGCAGCTACAGTGCATTGTTCGTCCTCTATATCGGCTCAACACGAGCGTCTCACAGCTTCATGCACCTTCATTGTGAATTTGTTCTCCATTGTGAGTTCGTTCAGTGTGGTACGTCACGTTCCTGTCAGCGCTGATGGTTTTCTCGCTGAGTCACACTGATGCTCGTGTTGTGCTGCATTGGTTTATTGATTCGTTTGATCATCTTCTGTTATATTCAATACAAAATAAGTGAAAAAATTACCACAACTATCAACGAACCTCCATGCATCATACATTTGTCTGAAACTGAAATAAAACCATTTGAAATTTTATGTACATTTTTTGTGCTTTTGTCAAAAGAGCAGCAGCAGCTCATTTGCATTTAAAGAGACAGGCACGAAAACAGCCTGCTTCTGCTTCCACTCAAAATAGGCATTTTCAAAATTATATAATACATAATCTGTGGTGTATTTTGAGCTGAAACTTCACAGACACATCCTGTGGACACCTGAGACATATATTACATCTTGTAGAAAGGGGTGTAATAGGTCACCTTTAAGTAATGACAACTTTTCGTTATGGTTTTAGTGTTCGTGAGCCTCATTTGCGGTTCCTGAGACGGTGAGTGACGGATCTGTGTGTGTTTCTGTCAGGATTCGGAGGCTGTGGAGATCATGCTGGGAGTTTGTTCCAGCGGCCTCCTCGTCTACAGAGATAAACTGCGCATCAATCGCTTCGCCTGGCCCAAAATACTCAAGATCTCCTACAAGAGGAACAACTTCTACATCAAGGTGCGGCCGGGAGAGGTGAGATGAGACGAGTCTCGTTCTGTTCTTCAGATCGACTGCAGTTTGTCCGAACGTGTTTGAACGAGCGTGAAACGCTTGGCTTTCTGTTCTCGCTCAGCTGGAACAGTTCGAGAGCACCATCGGATTTAAACTGCCCAATCACAAAGCAGCAAAGCGACTGTGGAAAGTTTGTGTGGAGCATCACACCTTCTTCAGGTCAGACAGACTCCATGCTGTAGAGTTCATTAATACTGAGAAGTTTTATTTCTTATGTCTTCCCTTCGATTTAAATTTGTCATTTAAGTGTTTTTGTCATTTTCTTTAGTTGTTTTTTTTGTAATGTCGGTTTCATTTTTATTTTGGTTTTAGTCATATTAGTACAAAGTTGTAGTCATTTTAGCACTAAACTAAATGTTTAGATACTGATATAGTTTTTATTAATATTTTGTTTTATTTTCATGTTTTCCCTGTTGATTTGAATTTTAGTCATCTGAAATTGTGTCTTGCATTTTTATTAGTTTTCTTTTTAGATTTAATAATATTTGAATATTTTAGTTTTTATTCATTTTTGTTTCAGTTTTAGTAATTTTAGTAAACTTAAACTAAACATTTAGTGTTATTTTAGTATCGCTGAGATACTAATGTAGTATTTATTAATATTTTGAGTTAATTTTTATTTGCTTATTTTCGCTGTTGATTTTAATTTTAGAAATCCGAAATTGTGTTTGTCTTTTTTATTCATTTTTTAAAAAATATATTTGTTTTTATTCATTTTAATTTTAGTCATTTTAGTACTTCAACTTTAACTAAACATTTAGTGTTATTTTAGTATCATTGCGATACTAATATAGTTTTTATTAATATTTTGTTTTCATTTAAAATTTTAAGTTTTAGTAATTAGCCATTTTTGTCAGTTTTAGTACACTGTAAAAATAATAATAAAACAATTTCAAAGTTATAAATAAATCCTAGATTATTGCCGTACAAGAAAACACTATTTTATTCAAAATTTCACGTTTAATTCATTGTGTTAATTGTCATTTCTTTGTGATTAATTTGTGAAATTTACTAGCAATTTTTAAGAGAAATTGTTCCAAAGTAAAACATTTTTCAGTGTAGTTTTTTTTATATTTCTGTATTTCAGTTTTAGTTATTGTAGTTCATCAAGTTAAACTAAATGAAAAGGAGAAATGTTGTCAATAAAAAAATTATGAAAAATTGCCAAAATTGTTCAAAAAACTTTTTTTGGTCAATGTAATGGTCTGAATACTTTCCGTACCCACTGTATATATATATAGATATAGATAGATATAGATATATATATATATATATATAGATAGACAGATAGATATAATTTTTAGTTAACATATAAGTTTATTGCACTTACCGTAATTGTTCTTTTTCTTTCTTCTTTTTCTTTAGAGTTTTCATTGACAAATAGTAAAAAATAAAAATTACGTTTTTTTTTTTTCTTTTTCAACCAAGTCACTGTGGTATAAACATAAATGTTGTGTCCTCATGAAAACCACATGCTTTGTTTTTGTTGTTCACACTTGAAAATGTGTTTCAGTTCCTATATTGGGATAATTTACAGAAATATTTATAACTGCCATTAAAAGCATCAGACACATCTCGCATAAGTGAAATGTTTAAATGTTATCGATCTAATTAGCGGTCTGATCCTTGTGTTCTGATAGGCTGGTTTCTCCTGAAGCTCCTCCCAAGCGCTTCCTGTCGTTGGGCTCAAAGTTCCGCTACAGCGGCCGAACACAAGCGCAGACTCGCCGAGTGAGCGCTCAGATCTCACGCGCCGCGCCGCAGTTCCAGCGATCGGCCAGCAGGCGGCACACCGTCACAGCCAGCATGGACAGCAGTGCGTAACACGCTAACTCACACTAACCAGCTAGTCAAGTCAGTTTCAGAGCGGTATTTCAGTGTGTGTGTGTGTGTGTGTGTGTGTGTATATTCAGGTATGTATTTATTAGTGATGCACCAAATTTTGCTAAATATAATTTAAAAAACAAATTATTGCATTTTTTAAATGCATTATTCTTTATAAATCGCAATTCACTTGAAATTGTGTGAGTGTGTGTTTGTTTGTTTGTGTGGGGGGGGTGGGAGGGAGTGTGTGTGTGTGTGTGTGTATGTGTGTGTGAGAGTGTGTGTGTGTGTGTCTTTGTCTGTGTGTGTGTGTGTGTGAGTGTCTTTGTCTGTGTGTGTGTGTGTGTGAGTGTCTTTGTCTGTGTGTGTGTGTGTGTGAGTGTCTTTGTCTGTGTGTGTGTGTGTGTGAGTGTCTTTGTCTGTGTGTGTGTGTGTGTGAGTGTCTTTGTCTGTGTGTGTGTGTGTGTGAGTGTCTTTGTCTGTGTGTGTGTGTGTGTGAGTGTCTTTGTCTGTGTGTGTGTGTGTGTGAGTGTCTTTGTCTGTGTGTGTGTGTGTGTGAGTGTCTTTGTCTGTGTGTGTGTGTGTGTGAGTGTCTTTGTCTGTGTGTGTGTGTGTGTGAGTGTCTTTGTCTGTGTGTGTGTGTGTGTGAGTGTCTTTGTCTGTGTGTGTGTGTGTGTGAGTGTCTTTGTCTGTGTGTGTGTGTGTGTGAGTGTCTTTGTCTGTGTGTGTGTGTGTGTGAGTGTCTTTGTCTGTGTGTGTGTGTGTGTGAGTGTCTTTGTCTGTGTGTGTGTGTGTGTGAGTGTCTTTGTCTGTGTGTGTGTGTGTGTGAGTGTCTTTGTCTGTGTGTGTGTGTGTGTGAGTGTCTTTGTCTGTGTGTGTGTGTGTGTGAGTGTCTTTGTCTGTGTGTGTGTGTGTGTGAGTGTCTTTGTCTGTGTGTGTGTGTGTGTGAGTGTCTTTGTCTGTGTGTGTGTGTGTGTGAGTGTCTTTGTCTGTGTGTGTGTGTGTGTGAGTGTCTTTGTCTGTGTGTGTGTGTGTGTGAGTGTCTTTGTCTGTGTGTGTGTGTGTGTGAGTGTCTTTGTCTGTGTGTGTGTGTGTGTGAGTGTCTTTGTCTGTGTGTGTGTGTGTGTGAGTGTCTTTGTCTGTGTGTGTGTGTGTGTGAGTGTCTTTGTCTGTGTGTGTGTGTGTGTGAGTGTCTTTGTCTGTGTGTGTGTGTGTGTGAGTGTCTTTGTCTGTGTGTGTGTGTGTGTGAGTGTCTTTGTCTGTGTGTGTGTGTGTGTGAGTGTCTTTGTCTGTGTGTGTGTGTGTGTGAGTGTCTTTGTCTGTGTGTGTGTGTGTGTGAGTGTCTTTGTCTGTGTGTGTGTGTGTGTGAGTGTCTTTGTCTGTGTGTGTGTGTGTGTGAGTGTCTTTGTCTGTGTGTGTGTGTGTGTGAGTGTCTTTGTCTGTGTGTGTGTGTGTGTGAGTGTCTTTGTCTGTGTGTGTGTGTGTGTGAGTGTCTTTGTCTGTGTGTGTGTGTGTGTGAGTGTCTTTGTCTGTGTGTGTGTGTGTGTGAGTGTCTTTGTCTGTGTGTGTGTGTGTGTGAGTGTCTTTGTCTGTGTGTGTGTGTGTGTGAGTGTCTTTGTCTGTGTGTGTGTGTGTGTGAGTGTCTTTGTCTGTGTGTGTGTGTGTGTGAGTGTCTTTGTCTGTGTGTGTGTGTGTGTGAGTGTCTTTGTCTGTGTGTGTGTGTGTGTGAGTGTCTTTGTCTGTGTGTGTGTGTGTGTGAGTGTCTTTGTCTGTGTGTGTGTGTGTGTGAGTGTCTTTGTCTGTGTGTGTGTGTGTGTGAGTGTCTTTGTCTGTGTGTGTGTGTGTGTGAGTGTCTTTGTCTGTGTGTGTGTGTGTGTGAGTGTCTTTGTCTGTGTGTGTGTGTGTGTGAGTGTCTTTGTCTGTGTGTGTGTGTGTGTGAGTGTCTTTGTCTGTGTGTGTGTGTGTGTGAGTGTCTTTGTCTGTGTGTGTGTGTGTGTGAGTGTCTTTGTCTGTGTGTGTGTGTGTGTGAGTGTCTTTGTCTGTGTGTGTGTGTGTGTGAGTGTCTTTGTCTGTGTGTGTGTGTGTGTGAGTGTCTTTGTCTGTGTGTGTGTGTGTGTGAGTGTCTTTGTCTGTGTGTGTGTGTGTGTGAGTGTCTTTGTCTGTGTGTGTGTGTGTGTGAGTGTCTTTGTCTGTGTGTGTGTGTGTGTGAGTGTCTTTGTCTGTGTGTGTGTGTGTGTGAGTGTCTTTGTCTGTGTGTGTGTGTGTGTGAGTGTCTTTGTCTGTGTGTGTGTGTGTGTGAGTGTCTTTGTCTGTGTGTGTGTGTGTGTGAGTGTCTTTGTCTGTGTGTGTGTGTGTGTGAGTGTCTTTGTCTGTGTGTGTGTGTGTGTGAGTGTCTTTGTCTGTGTGTGTGTGTGTGTGAGTGTCTTTGTCTGTGTGTGTGTGTGTGTGAGTGTCTTTGTGTGAGTGTCTGTGTGAGTGTCTTTGTGTGTGTGAGTGTGTCTTTGTGCGTGTGTGTGAGTGTGAGTGTCTTTGTGTGTGTGAGTGTCTTTGTGTGAGTGTGTGTGTGTGTGTGTGAGTGTCTTTGTGTGTGTGTGTGTGTGTGTGTGTGTCTCTGTGTGTGTGTGTGTGTGTGTGTCTCTGTGTGTGTGTGTGTGTGTGTGTCTCTGTGTGTGTGTGTGTGTGTGTGTCTCTGTGTGTGTGTGTGTGTGTGTGTCTCTGTGTGTGTGTGTGTGTGTGTGTCTCTGTGTGTGTGTGTGTGTGTGTGTCTCTGTGTGTGTGTGTGTGTGTGTGTCTCTGTGTGTGTGTGTGTGTGTGTGTCTCTGTGTGTGTGTGTGTGTGTGTGTCTCTGTGTGTGTGTGTGTGTGTGTGTCTCTGTGTGTGTGTGTGTGTGTGTGTCTCTGTGTGTGTGTGTGTGTGTGTGTCTCTGTGTGTGTGTGTGTGTGTGTGTCTCTGTGTGTGTGTGTGTGTGTGTGTCTCTGTGTGTGTGTGTGTGTGTGTGTCTCTGTGTGTGTGTGTGTGTGTGTGTCTCTGTGTGTGTGTGTGTGTGTGTGTCTCTGTGTGTGTGTGTGTGTGTGTGTCTCTGTGTGTGTGTGTGTGTGTGTGTCTCTGTGTGTGTGTGTGTGTGTGTGTCTCTGTGTGTGTGTGTGTGTGTGTGTCTCTGTGTGTGTGTGTGTGTGTGTGTCTCTGTGTGTGTGTGTGTGTGTGTGTCTCTGTGTGTGTGTGTGTGTGTGTGTCTCTGTGTGTGTGTGTGTGTGTGTGTCTCTGTGTGTGTGTGTGTGTGTGTGTCTCTGTGTGTGTGTGTGTGTGTGTGTCTCTGTGTGTGTGTGTGTGTGTGTGTCTCTGTGTGTGTGTGTGTGTGTGTGTCTCTGTGTGTGTGTGTGTGTGTGTGTCTCTGTGTGTGTGTGTGTGTGTGTGTCTCTGTGTGTGTGTGTGTGTGTGTGTCTCTGTGTGTGTGTGTGTGTGTGTGTCTCTGTGTGTGTGTGTGTGTGTGTGTCTCTGTGTGTGTGTGTGTGTGTGTGTCTCTGTGTGTGTGTGTGTGTGTGTGTCTCTGTGTGTGTGTGTGTGTGTGTGTCTCTGTGTGTGTGTGTGTGTGTGTGTCTCTGTGTGTGTGTGTGTGTGTGTGTCTCTGTGTGTGTGTGTGTGTGTGTGTCTCTGTGTGTGTGTGTGTGTGTGTGTCTCTGTGTGTGTGTGTGTGTGTGTGTCTCTGTGTGTGTGTGTGTGTGTGTGTCTCTGTGTGTGTGTGTGTGTGTGTGTCTCTGTGTGTGTGTGTGTGTGTGTGTCTCTGTGTGTGTGTGTGTGTGTGTGTCTCTGTGTGTGTGTGTGTGTGTGTGTCTCTGTGTGTGTGTGTGTGTGTGTGTCTCTGTGTGTGTGTGTGTGTGTGTGTCTCTGTGTGTGTGTGTGTGTGTGTGTCTCTGTGTGTGTGTGTGTGTGTGTGTCTCTGTGTGTGTGTGTGTGTGTGTGTCTCTGTGTGTGTGTGTGTGTGTGTGTCTCTGTGTGTGTGTGTGTGTGTGTGTCTCTGTGTGTGTGTGTGTGTGTGTGTCTCTGTGTGTGTGTGTGTGTGTGTGTCTCTGTGTGTGTGTGTGTGTGTGTGTCTCTGTGTGTGTGTGTGTGTGTGTGTCTCTGTGTGTGTGTGTGTGTGTGTGTCTCTGTGTGTGTGTGTGTGTGTGTGTCTCTGTGTGTGTGTGTGTGTGTGTGTCTCTGTGTGTGTGTGTGTGTGTGTGTCTCTGTGTGTGTGTGTGTGTGTGTGTCTCTGTGTGTGTGTGTGTGTGTGTGTCTCTGTGTGTGTGTGTGTGTGTGTGTCTCTGTGTGTGTGTGTGTGTGTGTGTCTCTGTGTGTGTGTGTGTGTGTGTGTCTCTGTGTGTGTGTGTGTGTGTGTGTCTCTGTGTGTGTGTGTGTGTGTGTGTCTCTGTGTGTGTGTGTGTGTGTGTGTCTCTGTGTGTGTGTGTGTGTGTGTGTCTCTGTGTGTGTGTGTGTGTGTGTGTCTCTGTGTGTGTGTGTGTGTGTGTGTCTCTGTGTGTGTGTGTGTGTGTGTGTCTCTGTGTGTGTGTGTGTGTGTGTGTCTCTGTGTGTGTGTGTGTGTGTGTGTCTCTGTGTGTGTGTGTGTGTGTGTGTCTCTGTGTGTGTGTGTGTGTGTGTGTCTCTGTGTGTGTGTGTGTGTGTGTGTCTCTGTGTGTGTGTGTGTGTGTGTGTCTCTGTGTGTGTGTGTGTGTGTGTGTCTCTGTGTGTGTGTGTGTGTGTGTGTCTCTGTGTGTGTGTGTGTGTGTGTGTCTCTGTGTGTGTGTGTGTGTGTGTGTCTCTGTGTGTGTGTGTGTGTGTGTGTCTCTGTGTGTGTGTGTGTGTGTGTGTCTCTGTGTGTGTGTGTGTGTGTGTGTCTCTGTGTGTGTGTGTGTGTGTGTGTCTCTGTGTGTGTGTGTGTGTGTGTGTCTCTGTGTGTGTGTGTGTGTGTGTGTCTCTGTGTGTGTGTGTGTGTGTGTGTCTCTGTGTGTGTGTGTGTGTGTGTGTCTCTGTGTGTGTGTGTGTGTGTGTGTCTCTGTGTGTGTGTGTGTGTGTGTGTCTCTGTGTGTGTGTGTGTGTGTGTGTCTCTGTGTGTGTGTGTGTGTGTGTGTCTCTGTGTGTGTGTGTGTGTGTGTGTCTCTGTGTGTGTGTGTGTGTGTGTGTCTCTGTGTGTGTGTGTGTGTGTGTGTCTCTGTGTGTGTGTGTGTGTGTGTGTCTCTGTGTGTGTGTGTGTGTGTGTGTCTCTGTGTGTGTGTGTGTGTGTGTGTCTCTGTGTGTGTGTGTGTGTGTGTGTCTCTGTGTGTGTGTGTGTGTGTGTGTCTCTGTGTGTGTGTGTGTGTGTGTGTCTCTGTGTGTGTGTGTGTGTGTGTGTCTCTGTGTGTGTGTGTGTGTGTGTGTCTCTGTGTGTGTGTGTGTGTGTGTGTCTCTGTGTGTGTGTGTGTGTGTGTGTCTCTGTGTGTGTGTGTGTGTGTGTGTCTCTGTGTGTGTGTGTGTGTGTGTGTCTCTGTGTGTGTGTGTGTGTGTGTGTCTCTGTGTGTGTGTGTGTGTGTGTGTCTCTGTGTGTGTGTGTGTGTGTGTGTCTCTGTGTGTGTGTGTGTGTGTGTGTCTCTGTGTGTGTGTGTGTGTGTGTGTCTCTTTGTCTCTGTCTCTGTTTGTGTGTGTGTGTGTGTGTGTGTTTGAGTGTGTGTATGTGTGTGTGTGTGTGTGTGTGTGTGTGTATGTATACATTGCTAAATATATGCACTATATTACATATTCATATTTTGTCTTCGTTATTTAATGTATGTTTGAATAAATCTGTCTTGAAAACAAGTTTTTATTACAGACACCATTTTCAATGTTTCTATTTCAACAACAAACATAATTCTGTTATTTAAAAAAATTGACATAAAAACTGCCCACTAGTATTTATATAATTAATTAATAACTTAATTTTAGTGGCATAATTATAGCAAAGCAGTTAAAATATTAAAATTAAAAATATTAATTGTGATTTCATATTTTTCGTAATGTTTTCCTTATTGTTGGATTATTTTGCAGACTGGTGTATAAGCGCAAACGTACACAACATTTTAACATCAGTTTCTGCATATCAATACTGATTTTGAGTTCAGTAACAGCACTGATTGTGTTCGCTGATTAATAATAGTTAATAATGATATGTTGATGTATCTGTGATCAGCGCCAGCGACGGTGAGCCGTGACGACGAGAAGAACGCCAAACCCGCTGTTGCTACGGATGACCTCATCGCCATGGAAACGCCGGAGAAGAAAGCAGAGGAGATGAACTCAGTGGAGGAGGAGAATAAAGCCAACAGTGACGAAGCAGAACAAGCCCCGCCCCCCTCCGTCACCAAGGTAACCGTCAAATGAATGACAGCTTGACACACGTGATGATCTGATCTGCTGTTACGAGGTTTGTTTCTGCGTTCATGCTTCTGAACATGACCGGTAGGGACCAGAATCAAAATCAGATTTTTTTTTTCTTTCCTCAAATTCTTAAATTTCTATGAATTTTTACAATCAAAAAGGACATTTAATCAATTTAATTCATAAAACTTTTACAATTTGATCATATATTAAAATTTTAACAATAGGTAGTACCCAAGAAATGTTTTTTTTCCTTCCCATATTCAGTTTTATTTTTTCTCAAATTCTTCCATTTCTATACATTTTATAATCAAAAATAATGTCTAATCAATTTAATTGATAAAACCTTTACAATTTAATAATTTATTAAACTTTTAACATTATAAGGGCCTTGTGAAATGTTCTATTTTTTCACAAATTTAGTTTTATTTTTCTCATATTCTTACATTTCTATGCGTTTTATAATCAAAAAACTTTTACAATTTAATAATTTATTAAAATTGTAACAATAATAGTGCCCTAATGAAATGTTTTTTTTTTTTTTTCAAAATTCAGTTTTGTTTTTCATTTGAATTTTTCTGGATTCTATTTTATTAGTTCAATTAAATGTTCATAATCAAAAAGGATGTCATCAATTGAATTCATAAAACTTTAACAATATAATAATTCATTTTATTTATTTATTTATTTTAAGAATAATTGTGACCCATGAAAGGTTTTATTTTTCCCAAATTCTTTTAATTTTTTCCTCTAAAATTCTGTTTTCCATTTTCATTTTACTGAATGTTTCAGTTTTAATAATTTAATTACTTTTTTTAATAATCCCAAAGGAATGTCTAATCAATTGAATTCATAAAACTTCAGCAATTTAACATTTTTATAATAGATTAGCTGAAACTACTAACATGTAGCACGACAAACAATCGTGTAGAAATGCATTAACATTTTTAGGCGAGTGCAGCAGTTGCCACAGTACTTCTGTTTATCGAACTCTTGTTACCTGTCCTTCACTAACCAGCTTTCTTGCTTTTCTTTTGACCACACATTTTTGTGTTCAAACATGCATATGTTTTCATGCGTGCATTCGACACGCCTTCACCGTTTTCTCCCTCCATCATCGTCATCAGTCTTGTCTGTACTCATCGGATCCGTTGGGATCTGAGCTCTCCCTCCCGTCTTCTCCCGTCTCGTCCACCAAAGTGCGCAGGAGACGCAGGGAAAGCAGCCGCAAGCGCGCCTCCTCCGTCAGTCCGGCCAAAACCACGGCGGGCTGCCGGCGCCGTCAGGCCCAAGCGGACCGTAAAGTGGCTCTTCTGGAGGAACAAGCGCTGCTTCTGTCCGCACGCAAACAGAGACTGAACCAGAGCCGCAGCAGAGGCGGCACGCTCTTCTCCTTCTCTCTGCACTTCCCCGATCTGTCCTCGCTGCTGGATGAGGACGGTTACCTGAGCTTCCCCGACCTCACCGAGCTGCGCTTTCTTCCCGAGAGCCTGCATCACTTCATGCCCATCAAATCTCCGTCGCTCATCCCCTGCTTCCTCTTCATCTTCTTCTTCCTGCTCTCCACCTCGTTCTCTGTGCCGTACGCACTCACGCTCTCCTTCCCGCTGGCGCTGTGTCTCTGCTATCTGGAGCCCAAGGCCGCGTCGCTCGGCTCGTCTCTGGCGCAGGGCTTCCAGGACAGTTCTGACGACGAGGTGCGTGAGTGTGTGCGAGAGTGTGTGCGAGAGTGTGTGCGAGAGTGTGTGCGAGAGTGTGTGCGAGAGTGTGTGCGAGAGTGTGTGCGTGAGTGTGTGCGAGAGGGTGAGTGTGAGGGTGAGGGTGAGTGGTGCGTGAGTGTGTGCGAGAGTGTGAGTGTGAGTGTGAGTGTGAGTGTGAGTGTGAGTGTGAGTGTGAGTGTGAGTGTGTGCGAGAGTGTGTGTGTGTGAGTGTGAGTGTGTGTGTGTGTCTGGTTTATCTGCCGCATCAGTCTAAAGAGCTTTGAGAGTGTGTTTCATCTGTTCGTTCTCATTCACCACATTCATGGGATTATTCTCATCGTTATTGTTTGGAAAAAGCTTGAGATCTTCCACAGCATGGCACCTTCCACAAATAGCCTACAAATATGTATTGTAATGTGTTATAAGCAGGGCTGGGTGATTATGGAAAAAAATAATGTCCTTTTGTTGTTGTCACTTTAATCTAGCTTGCGCTCACTGTTGCATCCGGGCGGATGACGTATGAGGTCAGCTTTGCACATGCACCGCTCAGAAGTGACGAACGCGGAAGCGCAGGGGAGAGATCAAAACAACAGTCATGAATTAGAAGTACAAAACGAGGATTTTTTTTCGATACGAGATACTTTGCTTCCTTTGATCCTGTTAACAAACGTTGGTTTTCATGAGACTCACCGCCGCATGCGCAATGCTGAACTCATACGTCATCCGCCCGGAGCTGCTTCTTTGTACAACTGTTGGCGCAAGCTACATTAAAGTGATTATTACGTTTTGAATATGGATATTTTTCTTACAAAAACGCATCGATTCGGTGCTTTTTATTTAACTTCTTTTGGACTGATGCATGCAACACCCGCTGAGTGCCATGAAACAGCTTGAAAGATCAAAGAAATTTTTTTTTTATAACTCCGACTGGATTTCTCTGAAAGAAGAAAGTCAAATACACCTAGGATGACTTGAGGGTGAGATATTTATGGGCTAATTTTCATTTTTGGGTGAACTAACCCTTTAATTTAAAAGTAGACATGTCAAGCTTTCTATAGATATATTTCTCCTGTCTGTGTGTAAAGTATTCACTGAGTTTCTAAAAGCAATTCGCGGAGACAGTGAGGACTGAGAGCGCACCCTGTTTATTTTCTTTATTTTACAAAAGCACATTGTTTTGTTGTTATTATGACTATACACAAATAAAAGTATTTGCAGTTTCAAACGATACCTTATTCTTATCTGTACAATGTATTTTTAGTTCTTTTCGCGGTCATCAAGAAAATACGAGACCGACCGCACCTGTGCGGGCTTCGACCCCAGGGGGTTAAACATGTCATGGGACGCTATTGCGCCACCTATCTGTGCAAAGTGCCTGTTGTTTGTGCAACTCATTTTCACTAGTTGGTAGGTCATCGTTTACCCATGTCTGGACGACACTTGGTTCATTCCTCAAGAGCATTGCTCTTATCTGATGCATGTTTCGTCATGTATAAAGCATCCGGTCAAACCTCCAGCGATGAAACTTGACAAACGTTCAGTGTTAATGTCATCCTCACTTCTCTGATGCATGTTGAGGAATGTATGCAGAAGCGCCGTCAGGATCATGTGATCAAACTTCTACATGCTCTTCTCACGCATCACGTCAGGTTCATGTTCTCATCATCTGTGTTGCATCATGAACAGCAGACCCTCCTTCACATTCTCATATGATCCTCATGAAGAATCATCTACTTGTCGTCCATCATGATGTGAATAACGTGAAGTCTGATCGGGGGATTTTTTTCCTTTATTGCTGCGATCTGTCGGGACATTCTTTGGTCAAACAGACCGACAGCGATCAAACCAACTTCACTTGTGATGACGACACATCGGCAACTGAGGTGTGTAGTTTAGTGCACTTTTATTCTTAATAGCTTGTGTTTTTAATGAGTGTATAACATGTCTCACGTCCTCTCTTTCACCCAAACTCGTTATAGTCTGACTTTGAGGACAACTTTGACATGAGGACACAGGTATCGAGACTCTATGGTGTTTTGAGAACACAGAAACCAGTTTAAGGTGGTTTGATGGTCTTGTATGAGTGAGCTGGTTAGGATGAGAAACCAGCTAAACCAGCAAAGACCAGCAAACCTGCTTAGGCCGGTTTGAAGCCAAGAACCATCCATCATCACCATGTTTTTGCTTTTGTTTTATTAGTCAAACGTGTCGTAACCAGTAGCAGAAACCGCTCTGATGTGGATTTGGTTGCTGAAAGGGTTTTACTTTAGGGCTGTCATGTGATTTAATTAATTACTTGATGTGCTGATTAATTATCGCAAATTAATCATATGTGAATTTTGGCTGTGAAGTCATTGTTAAATGAGAAAAGCATTGAATAGACATTGAGTCATTGAGTCATTCACTCAATCGATTCATTCGAACAGCTGATTCATTCAGAAACTAAGCAAGTGACTGTTATTATGAATGAGTCACTGATTCATTGACTCACTCGATTTGTTCAAAACCATGGATAGATGGACAGTTTTAATTTTTTCTCTTTCTCTAGTATAGTTTCATAAAACGGATTAAAGGAGAGAATGTGTTTGTCAAGCACAGTAATCTCATGTTGGAGGTTTGTGAAGCATGAGGTGGCATGTGTTTGGGTTTAATTACTCATATGATCAGCGTATGTGCCGTTTAATAACCCTATTATTGTAAAGTACAACTGCAGTGACTCTAACACCACTTGATTCAATTTTTAATCAATCCAAGTTTCGTAGAAATTCAAGTTTTAAGCAGCTTCACAGAAAATGCTTGTTTCAGTGTTACAATTAACTTTGTTCTTATTTTGAGTGTTTCAAGCCCTTGCATGAATTAAACAATTAACGCAGCAATGAAAAGTCAATGACATTAGTTTGGAATCTTTTTATGCCCCGCCCCATTCGAACCCTCCCTGTGCTGTGATTGGTGGGTCAGGAGACAGACACGCCCACAGCTCTAGTGCAGCATCAGCTGAGCGTCAGTGAGCTGAAGAGGTTGTTTCTGCAGATGCGTTGTGAAGCGTCGGGTGTGAACGAGTGGGACAGGAGACTGTCCCCATCTCCTCGACCAGACGACCCGTCTCTGATCAAACCTGTACACTCACAGGTGTGCTTTAGACCGGCCTGGACGTGAGATTTGAGTGACACTTCTGATCATTTAACAACAGAAATAGACAAAGCTGCACTTTAACCCTTTGGGTCCGTATTCACAAAACATCTTAAGGCTAAAAGTAGCTCGTAACTCGCCGATTTAAGAGAAAATCTTACAAATAATGGGCGTGTCAGTCCTTAATTTAGGACTCCTAAATTTTTGATTTTTCACAAAGAATTTTAGCGCTAAAACTAGCTCCTAAATCTGTGAAAGGTTAGAAGTAGTGAAAAGGACTCCTAAGTCACTAAGACCAAGCCACAAACTATTCCTAAAACAGCTGTTGCCGGCAATCTGCCTCGGAACATAAACATTTTAGAAATATTTGACGATAATGAGCTTTTATAAAGGTATCACCTTTGGTTTTGGAGGTTATCCCAACTCTAAATTTTCCTTTGATTATGTCCTTGTTTTCATTAACCAGCTCGGCAAGAAGTAACAGCTGTTCTTGCGCCCAGTTTGGTTTTCTTTTACGTTTGCATGTCTTACTATCAGCCACTCTGTTTATTAAAAGGCTGTTTATATGCATATTCACTAATTATGAGAAGCACACATGTAAGAGGCTGACAATTAGCTGAACACATACTGGTTTAATTAGTGACACTTAGCCTGCATTTTCAAATCTTTATTTGGAATGTCGCAACATTTTTACTTTTAAACCTTTATCTTTACTCTAAAATATTTTTGTGAATAAATCTCTGAGAGACTATCAGCCAATCACTGTGTGCATAGTTAGTAAGCATGCTGACATCATCCATAACAACGAGGTAAACCCCGCCCCTTTACTCTCAGCTTAAGACTTCTCTCTATTCCTTAGTAAAAGTTTGTCTCAGCAGCTTTGTGAATAGGTTTTAAGAGAAAACTCTTTGCTAAAAACTTTTACTGCTATTTAGGAGAACTCTTAGGAGTAAGATAAAATGTTTTGTGAATACGGGCTCTGGTGTTTAGTCATTTTTGACGGAAATTTATTTATGTTTATTTTCTTTTACTACTTCACAATGGTTCGAATCTTGGTAAAGGTTTTGGCATTTGCTATGTGAACATAAAAAAAACACATGGACAGGATTCAAAAAGGTTAAATGGTTCTGAAAAAAATAGTCATGCTTGTGCTTTTCACGGTCAAAAATGACCTCAATTGAGAATGAATGGAAGCAAATTTCATCTAGTGGAAATGCTTGGTACTGCGCTTTTTTTGCGATATCAACTTAAAATTTGGAACACAACTTGCTTTCGATTTTCTTGCAGTTAAAGTGTAAAACATTTTTTGGAAAATATCCATTTCATTTAAAATTTTAAAATAGTATTTTTGTGATAATTATGTGAAAATTAACTTTTTTTTTTTTTTAGTTTATCTTTTTTCAGTTCTTCTTTACAAAAAACTTAAGTCTGCACTCCAAAGCTTTCAAGATTTACAACTATGTACGTTGGAAATTTCATTTTTAGGTCTATTCTCCAAAATTGGTGCTAAACTCCAAAACCATTCCATAAATATAATTTAGTGCCATAAAATCCTCTAATACAAAATATTACAGAAAAAAACATTATCAAAGTAAAATATAGTACATTCATTTCAATGAAAAAATAAATAAATCTGTCATTTTTGACCACCACGGGATTTAAAGTGATCGTTAACCAAGAAATAAATTCTGTCGTCATTTACTCGCCTTCATGAAGATGTTTCTTTCTGTGGAACACAAATAGAAATTGTTGAAGGATCTTCATTCTGCTCTTTTCAATACGAAAGCACTGTATGATAACAGTTCCAGCAGATTGTGTTATGAAAGTCACTAAGACCAAGCCACAAACTATTCCTAAAACAGCTGTTGCCGGCAATCTGCCTCGGAACATAAACATTTTAGAAATATTTGACGATAATGAGCTTTTATAAAGGTATCACCTTTGGTTTTGGAGGTTATCCCAACTCTAAATTTTCCTTTGATTATGTCCTTGTTTTCATTAACCAGCTCGGCAAGAAGTAACAGCTGTTCTTGCGCCCAGTTTGGTTTTCTTTTACGTTTGCATGTCTTACTATCAGCCACTCTGTTTATTAAAAGGCTGTTTATATGCATATTCACTAATTATGAGAAGCACACATGTAAGAGGCTGACAATTAGCTGAACACATACTGGTTTAATTAGTGACACTTAGCCTGCATTTTCAAATCTTTATTTGGAATGTCGCAACATTTTTACTTTTAAACCTTTATCTTTACTCTAAAATATTTTTGTGAATAAATCTCTGAGAGACTATCAGCCAATCACTGTGTGCATAGTTAGTAAGCATGCTGACATCATCCATAACAACGAGGTAAACCCCGCCCCTTTACTCTCAGCTTAAGACTTCTCTCTATTCCTTAGTAAAAGTTTGTCTCAGCAGCTTTGTGAATAGGTTTTAAGAGAAAACTCTTTGCTAAAAACTTTTACTGCTATTTAGGAGAACTCTTAGGAGTAAGATAAAATGTTTTGTGAATACGGGCTCTGGTGTTTAGTCATTTTTGACGGAAATTTATTTATGTTTATTTTCTTTTACTACTTCACAATGGTTCGAATCTTGGTAAAGGTTTTGGCATTTGCTATGTGAACATAAAAAAAACACATGGACAGGATTCAAAAAGGTTAAATGGTTCTGAAAAAAATAGTCATGCTTGTGCTTTTCACGGTCAAAAATGACCTCAATTGAGAATGAATGGAAGCAAATTTCATCTAGTGGAAATGCTTGGTACTGCGCTTTTTTTGCGATATCAACTTAAAATTTGGAACACAACTTGCTTTCGATTTTCTTGCAGTTAAAGTGTAAAACATTTTTTGGAAAATATCCATTTCATTTAAAATTTTAAAATAGTATTTTTGTGATAATTATGTGAAAATTAACTTTTTTTTTTTTTTAGTTTATCTTTTTTCAGTTCTTCTTTACAAAAAACTTAAGTCTGCACTCCAAAGCTTTCAAGATTTACAACTATGTACGTTGGAAATTTCATTTTTAGGTCTATTCTCCAAAATTGGTGCTAAACTCCAAAACCATTCCATAAATATAATTTAGTGCCATAAAATCCTCTAATACAAAATATTACAGAAAAAAACATTATCAAAGTAAAATATAGTACATTCATTTCAATGAAAAAATAAATAAATCTGTCATTTTTGACCACCACGGGATTTAAAGTGATCGTTAACCAAGAAATAAATTCTGTCGTCATTTACTCGCCTTCATGAAGATGTTTCTTTCTGTGGAACACAAATAGAAATTGTTGAAGGATCTTCATTCTGCTCTTTTCAATACGAAAGCACTGTATGATAACAGTTCCAGCAGATTGTGTTATGATACTGTGATGCTGATTTCTGTCCTTTTTGGAGTCTGTCGAATTGAAAAGAGCAGGAAAAGATGGTTTTAAAATTACATGAGGGTGAGTAAATATTATCAGATTTGTTTAGTTCACTTGAGTATCTTAGATCTTTATTTACAGCGTGTTTTAAAGACTAATTCGACTGGTCAGCCTGCTTGTGTTAAGCTTGTTTTGGTTCATAATGAAGTGGTTTAACCCAATAAAACAATCTCCTGACGGTTGTATTTGAAGCATTTGTTAGGTTCCCAAGCAGATTACTTTTCTTGAGCTTGTGTGTGTGTGTGTGTGTGTGTGTGCGCATTTTTGTGACAAATGAGGACATAAATGTGTATAATGACAAAGGTATGACAGGTATTACAAGGAGAAGGTGACTTCTCAGGACATTACCCCATGTCCCCACTTTTCAAAACGCTTATAAATCACACAGAATGGAGTGTATTGAAAATCTGAAATAGCAGAAAGTCTCCTGTGAGGGGTAGGTTTAGGGGTAGGGTTGGTGTAGGGCAATAGAATATACGGTCTGTACAGTATAACAACCATTACGCCTATGGAGAGTCCCCACTTTTCACAAAAACAAACCTGTGTGTGTGAGAGAGAATTATAGTTTTTAGTTCAGTTTTTAAGCATTGTTTTGTTCAGTCTAGGGATGTTCATTAAACGACAACCGACTCTCGTTATCCGACAAGATTATTTTAAATTAGAATTGAATTAAATTAGAAAAGATAAGTGTCTGTGACCCGTTAAAAAATACTAACA